GGAAGGAGAGTGTTAGGGCTTCAGAGGGAAATGCTTTGATCTTGACTTTGAATCTCCTGCGGTTCCCGGCTTTCCCCCAGCCCTCCCACCTACGGCCAGGACCCCAGGATGTGGCCAGGACCCCCGGTCCTCACCCGGTGCTGTGGTGCTGCCCTTGGTGCTTCAGCTCCATTCCCTCCTGTGCGCCTGCGAGCCTCAGGGAGCCTCAGGGAGCAAGGGCACTGCACCGGCACCAAGTTCAAACCCTCCCTCCCATCTCATGGAGAAGCTGGAGCCCAGCTGGACAGAAGCCAGAAGGGAGAAGACCTCTGAGCCAAGCAGAGGAGAATTAGAGATGGGACCTACTGTCAGGGCTATCCCAGGGCAGGGGACAGGCAGGCCTGGCTGTCCTGTGCGCTCCCAGTGCATTAGACCGGTTGGTCCCGAACATCATCCAGAAGATGAACTAGGAGGCAGCCACCATTAGGAGAGGCACAAGCTGCTCTTGGTGACTCTCAGGGGACAGCACCGAGGTCCTCTGGTCCCCCAAGGAGGGATCTTAAGTCAGACAGAGAACAGCAATGGGGGCCCTGGGTGTTCTCTGTGGGATGGAGAGGAGGAGGCTCTGAGGGGTGCTGGAGGAAGGGGAACAACCCTGAGCTCTGAGTCACTGTGGAGGAAGAGGGGGACAGGGTGTTGGAGAGCCTTAGGGGTCTCTGGTCTCTTGTCCAGGATGGGACCTAATGCCCAGCCAGCTCCCTGCTTCACTTGGGGAGATGAAACTCCTGGCTGGGCCTTGCTGCCAAGGTCCTAAAGTTCAGGCCACATTCTTCTGCCCTCTGTGCTGCCCCTCCTTGGTCACTCACCTGAAGTCACCCCTGTTAACTGCTCTTGCTCACCGAGGTTGATGCACTTGGTTGTCTCTACCCACCAGTTCTCACTTCAGCACCACTAAGTTGATTTTGTTCCTTGCGTCGCCTCCTATAATTGAATCACTCCAGCTCCATTGCTGCTGGTTGGAAGCACCCTGTAGTTTGTCACTCTCCCTCTCAGTGTGATGTGAGCAGAACTGAACAAAGTCATCCATCAGCTGGTGCCCAGCATCATCCCAGGGCACGCGCAGACATGAGGGTGCCTCACGGGACCTCTCCGCAGCACAAAGCAGTCTGTCTATCTGAGCATCCCTTTGAGGGCTCCAGCGCAGGTGTGAGGCAGTGGGTTCAGAGATGGTCTTGGGGCTGGGAATGGGAAGTACCAGGCAATGTGAACCCCAAAGCAGGACTTCTGTCATCCAGTTAGAATAAGTCACTGCAAAGATTGGGGTGGACTCCAGGTTTTCCAGGGCCCTGTTGGGCATAAATGCACCAGAACCACTTGACCTTCCTTCCCCCTAAAACTGGTGGGCAGACTGCAGCTGCAACAATCTTATTTCTGCTTCTAACTTAGGACCCCTCTGGAAGCCCCCACGCTCTCAGTCCTGCCAGCGTCTCAGCAGTCCCAGGTCCCCCAACTTCCCAGCAGGAAGATTCTGACTCTGCAGTTCTCTGGAGGCAGAAAGATGGAAAAAACCAGAAGGCAGGGCACCGGCAAAGGCTTTCAGGGGATGGACATGTCAATTTAGCCCATTTAGGCCAACCTGTTCCAATTCCAGAGGTGGTTTTGGTAACTGGTCCACAGCGTGGCTTGCTCTGAATGGCATTTGGCTGCCCCAGCTGTTTCAGCCATATCCCATCCTCCCTGAACGGTCTCCTCTGGTCCAGCCACGGAGACCGCTGCAGTGGGCAGGGTGCACTGACTCACTCCGCTCCTGGAGGTCCCCTAAGTGGGAGTGGAGGTGGGACTGGGGAGCTTTCCTGCTGTGGGAGATAACTGAGTGTTTGAGTCTTGTCTCCATGTGTGGCCCTGTCCAGATCGTCACATTCCAGTGACAGAGCCAGAGGAAGCCCCCACCTTGTACAAGAACCCAGCACCAAGTCCTCGGGACACCCTTCCTCGTCAGGTTCAAATCAATGAGAATTTTATTGACTGAACACGGACGTTGCTCTTGACCTGGGAGAAGACTCCATGACCAAACTTGGAGCAGTGAAACCTGCCTTCCAGTGCCGCTGGAAACACAGCGCCCTGAGATTCACGCGCAGCTGCACGTCTCTGCGCCTTTGCTCTGGGACTTGTCTGAGAGAGGACGGGCTGCAGCGGGCAGGTTAAAGCACAACAGGCAGAAAAGCTGCTGGCAGCCGGAGCTAAACTGCAAAGGTCTCCATGACCTACTGTCACGCTGAAGCATCCTGCACCAAAACAGGGAGCACACTGGTCCCCCACTGAACTCCTCCAAGGAACAGAAAAATGCTAACTACTTGTTTATATGCTGGAAGCCGGTGTGTGCAGCCATCTGCATAACAGAACTGCCCAGGCTGTCTCTTTGTGTGTTTTCCAGCTCCTATGTTAATCACTGACCCTGCTGACTCTGGCATTTACCAGTGTCTCTCTGCCCTGTGAGCACCGCTTTGCATTTGCAACCAAAGAAGTTAAAAGGATGAAGGATGAGAAGGGGAGCTCAGCAGCTGTGGATATGAACACCAGCCTGCTGGGGAGCAGATCCAGGACTGGCCAGGTTGATAGCGAGAGTGGAGCTGGCTTTGGAGATACGAAGATTGCCTGAGGGGGAAAAAAGCTCCCCGGGGGATGGTTTAGGACTCTCTTCCTTGCGCTGTAGCTTTTCTGTGTCTGGCCAGAGTGACCCCTGTGAGCACTGAAGGCTGGGGATCGGTGTCCGCTGTGTCGGTGGCCCCTAGCTAAGGCTGGGAGCACTCACAAGCAGCCAGTCCACAGCTTCCAAGGAGCCCGTTCCTCCTGTCAAACCCTCCTTGCCCAGCCTCCTGCTGCGCTCCTGGGCTCAGATGGGAGACAAGGGAAGTGGGAAAAAATGCTCTGGGGTAGGTGCTTCTGGGGGAGGTAGGACACAGGGCAGCGAAGGTGTGCCTTGATGTGTGCTGCGACGCTTGCTCCTGGAAGAACGTGGAAAGCAGGGCAGCGGGAGAGGGAGCTGGCCCCCTGCTTGAAAGGTCTGCATTTAGTTTTCTTCCCAAATTGCACAAGAATCCCATACATGGTCTTTCCACGAGCCCTCCTGCCCGTTTGTTGCCAAACGCCACAGCAGAAATGAGTGCCACAGTGAGGTCCCCCTCGGGTGGTGGCACGCAGGGAAGAAAGCCCTTGCCATGCCTGACACTGGGAGTTACTTCGTGTCCCTCGCTGTGTGAGAGGGTTGTGGTGGTGTCCGGGCTGGTCCCTCAGGGTAGGCTGGGGAGAGGAAACCAGGTGCTGCCTGCAAGCGGACCTACACAGACCAGGGGACATGAAGCACCAAGACCAGCTGGTGAAGAGCCGAACTCTTCCCTGTTGTCCAAGCAGTGCCTGCCCTCGTCAAAATGCAACCAGCCCTCACACCGGAGGGCAGGTGGGCTTCTGGAGGACCCATTTTGTGGTGGCATAGCTTGGGGTGAGGCAGGTCCTAGAGGAAGCTCTAGGGGTTCTGAGCTTGCGAAGAGGACGTGGGGTGGAACTGGCGCTGGCGGCCCAGCGATGCCGGCGCACGGTGCCTGGCGCGGGGGCTGTTTGCACAGCCTCACGAGGTGCCCGGGGGACGGGACGAAGCCATTGTGTGAGCGGGAGTGAAGGAGGGGAACCTCGGCCCCGAAATTAGGCCCAGGAGGCAGCGGGGCAGAGATAAGCGGGAGGAAGGCTGCTCCGCCAAGGGCCCAGGCACGGGTGGGTGGACACAAACCCGCCCGGGAGGCTGCCCGGAGCCGAGGGCAGGGACCAGGCTGCTGTCCTCTGGGTGCCTCCCGCAGACGACCCAGAAGGTTTCGAAGGGCAGCGCGGCTGAGCCTCGCCAGCCCTGCCAGCCCCGGGGTCCCACCAGCG